TATAGAGAGAGAGAGAGAGAGAGAGAGAGAGAGAGCTCTTCTCATCAGGCCGGCCTGACGGCCTGACGGGCCGCCCCAGGCCGGCCTGACGGGCTCTCTCTATATAGAGAGCTCTCTCTCTCTCTCTCTCTCTCTCTATATATATATATATATATATATATATAGAGGAATGTTCATGTCAGGCCGGCCTGACGGGCTGCCCCGTCCGGCCGAGCCCGTTTGGGCACCTTTCCGGTGGAATTTTTTGATGAAATTTTTTGAGCATATTCCTCATCAAGTCTAGTTTGTCCATACCAAATTTCAGCTCAAAATTCGATCGGGAAGGTCGTCAAATGATTTTTGCAAGTTAACTGGTCCGGAATATGTATTTTCCGGACCAGTTAACTTGCAAAAATCATTTGACAACCTTCCCGATTGAATTTTGAGCTGAAATTTGGTATGGACAAACTAGACTTGATGAGGAACATGCTCAAAAAATTTCATCAAAAAATTCTACCGGGAAGGTGCCCAAACGGGCTCGGCCGGACGGGGCAGCCCGTCAGGCCGGCCTGATGAGAAGAGCTCTCTCTCTCTCTCTCTCTCTATATATATATATATATATATGTATTTGCATATTTTTTTATTTTGAATTTCATCCCATATTTTTGAATAATGCTATATTGAGTTGATTCTTGAATTATTTGAAAGTTTTTCATTCGGCATTTTGAAATGTTTTGTATATTCTATTTCAAGAAAATACACATATTTTGAACTGTTTTGTATTTTTCATATATTCTACATAGTATTTAATTTATATACTAGCTAATACTATATTTCAAGCTTGTGTGTTGCCCGGATGACAAATAACATGACAGAATCATTAGTCCAATTCTAATATACTCCGTATAACTTTTCTTTAAAAAGTAACTCAATCCATTTAATTTCATTTTCGTGTATATTCACATATGCAGAGTGTGATTTTCTTATTCTACAATATTAAGTTGCTTTTAATTTAAAAATAATAGTTATTTTTTATTAAAAACACACAAAAAAAAACATATTAAAGCATAAATTGCATTTTTATAAAAATCAAGTGAGTTTTATATTCATTTAATAATAAGAGTACAATGATTAGTTCTCCTTATAATATGCCCCATAAAAACTATAACTTTCATTGAAAAATATGTCATAAAAATGTCACTGTATTCAACCCATAAGAGGTGATGACTAAGAGTATCTCCAATGGTTTCTTTAGGGGACTTGCTTGCTATTTTGAAGCTAATAACTTACCATTGGAGCACTGTTTTTCCTTTTGCTTGACAAAGCTAATTAGTCAAAATGAGCTAATAGTTTGAGCAAAGGGAATTACTAAATATAACACTATTAATAATAAATGAAGAAGGAGATGATATAGCTAATCACTGCAGTACATTTTGATTTTGCTGCAAATGCTTATGTGGCTAATAAAACTACAAGAGTAATTAGCTAACCACCAGATGCTCTAAGAGTTATATATATATATACTAGTACTCCCTCCGTCCCGTTGGGATGTTCCTGGTTTGACCTACACACATATTAAGGAAATAAACTTACTAAGGGGTAAATTTTACTGTTTTGACACTGTTTGACACTGTTTTGCACTGTTTGACACTGTTTTTGTGTACGATAACTTTCCATTTAAGGAAATGAGAACTTCTTTTTGGGACATCTAAAAAGGGAAAGTGGGAACATCCCAACGGGACGGAGGGAGTATTACATTAAAGTCCATAAAATGCGGATTTTATGGACTCTGATCTATTGAGTGTGGATTAATGTAAACTCGTATGGATTCTATGCTAAAAACACAACACATATTCTTATCAGAATCCGACCAATCATACTCCGATTCTCATTTGGATTTCATAGAATTCTCTTACAAATGATAGAATCAAATCAATCAATAGATTTCAATTAATATCCATGGACAATCAATCTTTAAAAAATCTCTCGAATTGTACGGTAACTTTCATACGGAGTATATATACATAGGAATGATCCTGTCCAGCAGCCCCCGGTCTGAACAGTGTCCGAACATGGCCATTTGGGGCACTTCCCGGCGGAATGTTTTGATGAAATTTTTTGATCATGTTCCTAATCAAGTCTAGTTTGTCCATACCAAATTTCAGCTCAAAATTCGATCGGGAAGGCATTCAAATCATTTTTTGAAGTTGACTGCGTTTTTATATGTATATTTTGACGCAATCAACTTCAAAAATGATTTGAATGCCTTCCCGATCGAATTTTGAGCTGAAATTTCACTACAAGAAAAAGGCATATTAGCGAAGGGAATATTGGTCGCAAAAACTAAAAAAACAGTCGCTAATACTTATTTGCGACCGGAAAATCTGGTCGCGCAACAGTCCCTATAGGCCTCGCCGCAAAAGATCTTTTGCGCCGGGAAATGCGGTCAGTTGCTAAAACTTTTTGGGACCAATTAGAATCCTGTCGCTAATGATATTATTTGAGACCACATATTATGAGTAATTGCAACCACTTTCCTTCGCTAATAATTTTTTACAAAAAATAATCAATAATTGCGACCGCACTATTTGAGTATTTGCAACCATTACTCCATCCCCATTTGCAAACATTAATAATTAATTGATGAAAACACAATATAATATATTAATTGATGTTTTGCAAAGATCCAAATCATACATAACCACTCGCATTTCAATTCAAAACTAATAAATAAGCAATAAAGTAGTCAATAATCAAATATTCAGCATATTCATTGCCTATACAAAATGTATGCAATCTTTAAACAATGAGACATCAATCTTCGGATCTTGATTTTAGTCTTTGTTTCATCGCCTTATAGCATTGCTTTAATCTCGTGTCACCTCGCCACAGTTCAGCACTATTATCAGTCAACAGCCCAATATGATGATTGATTCATGTTTTCCCAAGATGGCCTCCCATAACAGTATACATCTTCTATGTCCGTAAAATGAAGAAACTTGTACATAAAATTAAGCACATATATTGTAAGGAATAATTGTATTTAGATTTTGATGATGCTAGATAGATTAGAATATTAGAGTACCCCCATTAGATTTAATGTATTAGAATTTTTCTTTGTAAGTATTAGCATAGTCAACGGGCCAGAGACCCTCTTGGTACTTCTGATCAGAGTTGCTAGGAGAACTGCTCTATGAGAGTTGCTTGCAGAGTTGCTCTTTTGATTAGCTATTAGAGTTGCTAGCAGAGCTGCTCTTCAGAGAAGCCATCAGAGTTCCTACCAGAGCTGCCCTCAGATTGCTACTAGAGTTGCCATCAGAACCCGGCTTGAGAACTGCCAATCAGAGAATCTTATCAGACCTCGACAAACACTTAGAAGAATTCGATACTACTTTCAACGGCCGTGAAACTAACGGGAAATTCCCTAACGGCTAGAAGATATTTCACGGAAGGAAAGCATTTAATGCTCATTTAATGAGCCTGATACGCTGTGGAGTAATTGCAGATGATTGACCGAGATTCCTGGAGAATATTATACAAAAATAGCAAGTTACCAAATTCGTGGGCCCAACCGATCAACTTCACAGTACGCGCATTTAATGCAGTTGTCTCCTCCTCCAACGGGAAGACAACACTAGTATAAAAGATACACGACGAAGAACAACCAGACAACTTTTGCTCTCTACAATATTCAAAAAGTTCTCTTGAGATTCAAACTCCATATTCATCTACAAGAAAAAGCTTACGTTGGGAAGATCATTTTACTCAAAACCTTCAACCCCAACGAAGAGCAAAGTTCCTCCAGTTCTTCAACACTTCAAGCACTTCATCAACAAATCTATTGTAACGAAGCAAGTTGGAGAAAAACTCTGTTTTTCAAAACATCTTCTGCAAAGAAGGACGTCCAATTAACTGGAGTAGTGAAGTGGGTATACTTCCGGGAAGCTCAGTGAAAGGACCAGTCTTAGAGGAAGCAAGAAAGTGCATCCTAGGAGACAACTAGGCTTGAAGAAGACGTGGAGTGCTTCTTAAGTTCTAGGGACTAAGGCGTTGTAACTGTTGATTTACAAGCTTAGTGGAACAGTGGACTAGAGGAACACGTTGTTCCTTGAACCACTATAAAAATCCTCGGTGTCATTTACTTTAACGCACTTAATTTCTGCACTTAGGATTTTAACTGTCTAACTCTCAAGAACTTGGAATATGTGCTCAGCAGATCTTGTTCTCAGAGTTTGCAGAAAGGCATTTGCCTTAGTGATTCCCAGAGGCTATCCTGACAGGACTTTAATTCGCTGCCAGGTCCAGTTCTGCCACCAGAACTCGACCATCTCTGTCACCAGATTTGGACCACCTCTCATAAGTCAGTTTTGACTTAGAGAAAAATCTGAAAAATCAGAACAGTCTATTCACCCCCCCTCTACACTGTTCCCTACTTAAACGGGACCAACATATATGCACTAACCAATACCATTATAGATACTATGTTACCCTGGGAATCATAACTCTATATTGAAGATAGATAATTGCTTCAGTAATGCATCATACTCATGTTTCACTTCTAAAAAACAATAGATGTATAAATACAGATTGGATGTATATGTGTTTCAGATCATATGGACTCCAAAAAAGTACAATAACAAAAACACATTTATTGAGAGTGAAAATGCATGAACATGTCAAAATTATCTACGTATGATTTATAATCCACTATTTTGATCCGTTCACTATGGAAGATGGAAACGAATGAAATCTTAAACCATTAACAAATTTAGGAAACTAATTTCATTACACTGTAGTGTATAGTTTATACCTCTACAATTCGGATATAAAGAAATGCTATAAGGTTTAAATAAGCAAAGTAAGAGAGCAGACTCAACTATCAATTTAGGCATTCTTTCCTTTAGCTAAAAAAACCATTTGAAATCATAAATGTATCAGTATCATCAGATGTAACACTCAATTTTAATAAACCTGATTAAGAGAGTAGCATTTAGAGTGAGCTGACATACGACTCCGAAACAGAGACCAAGAGCGATGCCTTTGTGGAAAAAATCATAGAAGAGAAGGGTGGTGGCCAGGACAACATGCATTTTAATGGTGAATACATCATTCAGCTTGAATGCTCCTTCTCTTGGTTTATGGTGAGACTATACAAATATAATCCAAACATGACTCTGGAAAGTGAAGCAAATTCGGGAAATCTTTGTCAACATATTCAGTAAAAACATGGATATAGGTTGATGGTCCCGGATAGGGTAAAAGTCTAGAGGGGGGGTGAATAGATTTTTAAATCTTTGTAAACTTTATGAAGTTTTCCCTCTAGAAAAGTTGATCTATAATCTTTTGAGAGATTAATAGATGCACAGCAGAAGTCTTTACCCTTTATGTAATAAGAGTTTGACGACTTTCTAATTTGGGGAAGATTGGACTTAGATAGCAAGCAGTTGGCTTGGCAGTTGTCTGGTGGGCAGATCACTGCTGAGGCAACTGCTGGGTTGGCAGTTGGCTGGAGGGCAGGAGACTGCTGAGGCAACTGCTGAGAAACAGGATGACACTTGGATGGCTTTTTGTTCTGGCTTGTTATGGAGTTTGGAAAGACACGTATGGATGGGCAGTGGGCTCATCAGGAGGGTGAAGACCAGGGTACTGCTGAGCCACCTTCTGAGTTTAAGACAACTTCTAGTGGAAAACACTCTCAAGGAGAGTGAGTTATTAAGCAGTAGGCTAAGCAGTAGAGTCGATGAAGACTACTGCTTAGGATGCTGCTGGCAAACTACAAACCTTTAGGGAGATGTGTTTGGTGTGTGCTCTGAATGTATGAAAGTAAATCAACACACCATGTATCCTGGTTCAGAGGTGGTGTAATCCTCCTACATCCAGTCCCATTCTATTTCAAATGGATTTCCACTAAAGTATTCAGCCCAATACAATTAGTGCCAATCTAGCCTTGACAACTCTGGCCTAGATTGAAGGTTTTTCACGATGAGTATAACACCACTCAAAGTTACTCAGTCCTTAGACTTTTCTCTAATGATCCAGTGGGGATCAAAAGGTACTCTATCTATCTAACCACACTTTAGGATCCGAACAACTGTTCTCCTAAGTGTTTACAACCACTTGTAAAATACAAGGAATTTTTGGTCTACCAACTAAAATCTAAGCTCTAAAAATATGACAATTATGATCTAGTCTAAGAGCTTAGTGAAGCATGAGTCAAAGCAGAGTATTCTAGCACTTTCCTTTTTGCTGGATATTCGTAGTGTAATAATAGAATCTCTTGCTTTGAACTTAATGACTTGAACATTTAACTCATGCTTCGGCCTTTATTTATAGGCATCTCTGGTTGATTAATATCATCCGTTGGTTGAGATGATTTAATCATGAACGTTGAATCTTGATCGCAGAAGATAAACAACTTGTTGTTTATTTTCTTCTTCAGAGCTGATGGGTTCTTTTTGTCTTGTTTGCCTAGCCACTGTAGCTTTTTCATTTCAAGTTGATTGTGCATCCCATACTGTACGTCTTGGCTCTCCATGCCGGGATTTTTGATTGGCTCCGGATAATCACGAGACAAACACTCGAACAGTTAATTTTTGTGTCTAATAAAATTTATACTGGTAGGATTTAAATATCCTATTAAGGTAAATAAATTTACCTTATTGCATTTTTTTTTAATTTCCAGTATTAATTTTATTAGTCTTAAAAATTATACATCTATTTGTTCTCAATTAGACACATGTATATTTCATACCAATGTGCCTTTCGTTTTTGTGACAAAATTAAAATGTTTGTGATAAAGTAAATATATACCGGTAGGATTTAAATATCCTTTTTTTTTAAGGTAAAAATTACCTTATTGCATTTTTATTTTTCCGGTATAATTTACTTGATACAAACATTTTTCTTTTGACTTCTGGTCACACTTGGTTGTGTATGGCCCATCAAGTATTTCGAACATAAACTAATTTTTTTTTTAACTGGTAGGATAACAAATCCTATTAAGGTAAAAATTATTACCTTATTGCATTTTGTATTCCAGTTAAATAAATAGTGTAGTTGTTCGAAATATTTTTGTGTCATTTGATGTAACAAATAAATTTAACTGGTAGAATCTATAAGAGATCCTTTTAAGGTAATAAAGTATTACCTTATTGCATTTTATGTTTTCCAGTTATATTTATTTGTTAATTTTTAATTTGAGCAGGACACTTTCAGATAATTAGTACAGCCAACTGCCAGTATACATAATAATTGAATGCTACAAAAGATGGGAGATATAAAAAAAAGGCATCATCAAAATCTATCAGAATCTAGGGTCTAACAATTTCCCCCTTTTGTGATGATGCCAAAAGAAGAGTTTGAAAACACTTTATAAAATACAAAAGATGAACCTAGAGTGTTTTCCTACTCTCTTTCCCCCTCTTTTGGTAGCATTCACCAATCACTCAGTCCTTCTTCTTCTGCTTGATGGTTCCCCAGGGAAGAGGCCTTTTGTTGCTTGTCTCTGTGTGTTGTTCTCAATGACTTGAGCAAGTCTGAAATGGAAGACATTGTTGATGTTGTGGATTGAGAGTGATGCCTCAATGTCTTGTGTCATCATCCATTTTAGAGAGAACGTTTCTTCTCCTATCATTCGTGATCTGTTGAGAATGAGAGTATCAATGTCTGATAATCTCCACTTTCTCCATTCCAGCACCCGAAGTCGTTCTTGCAGTAGCTGTTCCCTTTCCGCTCCAATCAGAGCTTGAAGCTCTATGTATGCAAGGCTTTCCTCTTGCATTCGAGTTAGGACATAAGGTTGGTTGACATCAGGGTGTGGTGCTGCCTGGTAACCATTGTTGGACTGTGGTGGTGCTAGTGAAAGTTCGAGAGACAAGGAGTTGAAAGAGGGATTCATTTTGAATTTTACCGAAGGAGAGTTTGGAGTAGATAGAAGGAGGATTAATTCGAACGGGAGGTTTGTTCATGGAGTGGAGGTATTTAAAAGAAGTGTGCGGTTTCTTCATATTTCGATGTGGGTGAGAATCGAAGTATGTTAAAGTCTTCATTAATGTTTCAGCGGCTGGTTCTTCTTTTAAGACAAAGTGTCTTGATAAGAGGGTGAGAGAGGATTGATCAAGTATTTTCTCAGAGCATCATTAATGAGGAAGATGAGTGATCATTTTTCGATTGCCAGATGTTATTCATGCATGTTGCATGTAACCATAAATTCTTTCTGCTTTTAGATGATTCTGACACTCCCTTTTGCATGCTCAGAAATGGATAGTTCTAGGATACTATTTTAGCTTGTTTATGGCTAATTTTGACAGTAATTAATAAAAATAGGATACTTACTAAAAACTGCAGATAATCTTTATTTTATTAGGACGCTGCAGATGCAAGATGCTCCTAATAAAAATAAGTTTCTACAGAATAGTAGCATTCTATTTTCAATCCATATATGGGTCTACTGCTGAGTTTTGTGGATCAATATCGTACCTTTTTGAATTGGTGTCTGATTTTTAGCAGTTTGAGCTAGTTGTTCTTCTCATTCTCCAATGATTATGACTTTCAGTTGTTGTGGCAGCAGGTTCCTCTGTATCAACTGCTGAGTTTGATGAGTCATGATCTTCATTTCTCATCCTCTTCTTTGCTTTTGACATCCTCTTTCCTTCCTCTTTTAGATGGCTTTTTGTTCCATTCCCCCTTAGTTGATGCTCCTATGAAATTTTCCATGCTTAGTTCCCCCTCAATTGATGCTTTGGATATTCCTTTTAGAGTGGAATTCTCCTTCTGTGGTTGCTTGACTGTTTGGAGCTTTTCTGGATGTACTTCTTTAAGTTAATCAAGATGGCTCACTCAGACGTACCAAACGTGAGCCTGCTGCTGTTCTTTCCATCCTCCTGCTACAGAAGCTGTCTTTAGCAGAGTGTTTTGCTAAGGCTTCTCCTGAGACACCTGCTTCTGATACAGTGGCTTGCTTCTGAGGTAGGAACCTGCTGGAAGGCACTTGCTCCATTGCTCTTCTTACGTTTGTTCTTCTCTTTGTGAAAGCATCTCTTTTACTAATGTAGCAGTGGCCTGATAGTCAGTCGCCTGCTGAGTTTGCTGGAGTTTTTCAGCTCTTTGTTCTCCTTTTCTAAGACATCATTTTTGCTTAAGGCATCTCAACCTCGTTGTAGTGGTCTTTGGCCATTAAGCATTTGGGGGAGCAGCTTTCATCATCTTCGTTGAGTCAGTTACTGCTTTCTTCAGCCATCTGCCAGGATCTTACGCATAGTAGTGCTTCTTCTGAGCTTTCAGATGAGGAGCTTTCATCACTTGAGCTGCTCTCATCTTCACTTTGAGATTCCTCCTTCCTTTTTTTTTCACTTACAAAGGCTTGTCTCTTGCCTTTGAAGTCCTTTTTGTATCCACCTTTTTGAGCAGTTCCCTGCTGAGTTTGCTGCTACTGGAGAGCAGTCATCTGCGGAGGCAGCTGCTTGTTGGAGAGTAGTCTTCTGCTGTTCCTTCTGCTTGAATTTTGACTTCTTTTGAGATTGACTTTCTTGGACCTTGATGCTTCATTCCCTGTGAGTTTGAGTAGCTTATTCTTGGCAGTCACTTTGATCTTGATGGTGTTTGAGAATTAGCAGTGGGCTTATTGGCAGTCACCTGCTGAGCTAACTGTTTGTGGAAGTCAGTCACCTGCTGAGCCTACTGCTTGGATTTCGAGTAGCTTTCTTTGAGTAGGTGACTTTTCTTGAGTATAGTGAAGAGTTCCCTCTCAACAGTTGGCTAGGAATTCCCTTTCAATTGAGTTCCCCCTGAATGGGTACAGGGTAATTCCCTTACTTTGATCATCACCCCAAGCTTTTGTCTTGAATTCTGAATCTTTCTTTATTCAGTTTCTTGGTTGATGTAGAAGCTTTGTGGAGTCTGCTTCACTTGTAGTCCCAGAAAATAATTCAACTCTCCCATCATGCTCATTTCAAACTTGCTTTGCATGAGAGTTGAAAATTTCTCACACAATGCTTGATTTGAACTTCCAAAAATTATGTCATCAACATAGATTTGAACAAGCAATATGTGGGGACCTTCTTCAATTTTGAATAAAGTCTTGTCTACTTTGCCCTTAGTGAATCCATTATTCACTAAGTATTCAGAGAGAGTGTCATACCATGCTCTT